ACCTTGGCACCTTGACAAAGCTATGCAGCCATAACCACAGCTGAACCCAGGCCACTTTTGCTTTCCTACATCAGAGCAATCCACCAGGAGCCCCACCTCGTCCAGGCAACCCTGGGCCACTCTCCACCTCCATAGATTTTCCTTCTGGGAATCAGTTTGTTTTTTTCAAAATAGGTCATGCTCACAACAACAGCAAAGACCTTACTGTATTCAAAGAAGTGCAAATTTTGCAAAGTGGCTCCCATATTAGAGTGAAACCAAAGACTGACAACAGAAACACACCTAGAATACAATCGCTCTTTTTATATTCTTTTCTCTCTCTCTCTCTCTTCTTTCCTACTTATCTTTTTTTTTTGGTGGTACCAGGGATCAAACTCAGAACCTTGTGCTTACAAGGCAGGTGCAGTGCCACTGAGCTAAATTCCCAGTCTTCCTACTTATCTTTTGGAAGTGAAGATATTCTAAAAGTAGTCCTTTATTCTTCATCAAATGAACATAAATGTCAGAGAATTCCTTCAAATGTACAGAATGTCCCTTTGCTCAGATGTATATTAGATGGATAGATGCATTGTCACAATTAGCAAGGATGAACTAGTCTTTAGCCCATCATCTGAAGTTTCACCCAAACCAAAGACTGCACAGGTCGAGGGATGTGGCTTTCTTTGTGCTACCTCATCACTCTGTCTCCATGATTTCTTTTGCAATTGAAAGAACAAATGACATGATGTGGCCCCTGTTCTTCTCTGCACGTTCTGATGAGCACATGAACAGCTGTGGATGCTGTAAATATAACTCATATAACTAATATAACTTCAGGATGTTGTAAATATAACTCATAACTGAGACAGCAAGTACACCTAGTGACTGTTATACTCTAGACCTCAGAAGGGGAGTTCTTTCTCCCAGAGAAAATTGCAGACTTTAGAGTCAGTGTTAATTATTATATTGACAGTGGGTCTGTTTTTTTTTTGGTACCGGAAATTGAACTCAGGTCCTTGTGCTTATGCAGCAGGTGGCGAAACCACTGAGGTAAATCCCCAGCTCGACTGGTTTTTTTGAAATTAACACCAGATTTTTTTTTTTTTTTTTTT